AACTGTACAGTGCTCTCTGTTTATAGTAACCATTGTCCTTAATGTAAATATGTAAGAAAAATTGTGTATGTTTCTGTTCCGTGTCCTGTGTACTGTTTGTTTGTATATGTGTCTTTTTGGCTGCTGTTTGGCTGCAACCAAATTTCCCCCTTGTGGGACAATTAAAGGATTATTCTATTCTATTATATGTCCTTCTGTTGTTTTTGCACATTTTTTAAATTCCCAATTTCTACATTCATCAGTTTGCAACTATATTTTATGCAAGTGTCTGTCTGCGTGTTGTAGCGACCTTTCGGACCACAGGGCTGCCATCGTTGATGAGCTGGGCCAGCATCATGGCCACGTTGTGGTCGATGGTGGTGGAGTGGTCCGTCCGCTCAGCAGAGTTCCCCACAAACGTCCCCAAAGCAAAGACAGCTGCACACCTCACCTGCAACAGCACAACCCAAACAACACCTTAAGCTTTCTCTCCTCCTCGTTCAGTAAAGATGTTAAAAGTTAAAAGCTGGCTTCGCTGTGGTTTAGTCACCGCAGTAAACGCTGCAGCTCTAGCTTTCTATTTATTTTACCTGACAGTGATTTTGGGGTTCGGCCGTTTACCCCGAAAACTAAATATTCCCTCAGCAAACTGATACAAAAATATTTTAATGTCTTGTGGAACCAGTGGGGAAGAGTTTTAGAGGTAATTATAGTTCAATATTCTCTCACTGCATCAGTATGAAATTCAGAGATGCTGGATGCTTCGCTGACCTGTATCACTAACTCATTACTTTTTCTACGCTGCCTCATTGGATGTTTAATCTAAACCTGCTTTGCCCAAAAGGAATTTCCCATCAGGGACCGGATTCACAAACCAAACCTTATTACCACACAAGAATGAATATTTGGTTAGTTTTTTTTCCTGTTCTGGCGACAAAAACCACCCAAACCCCAAAACACTTTTGTAGAGGCGATTAGATTTCAGGACACAGCTGCAGTGATGCTAAAATAAACAGATGCTACTTTGTTGCAGTTTGCTCCAATTAAAGAGGTTCAGCTCAAACAGTTCAGATGAACATTTCATAATTCACTTCCTAGAAACTGGAATGACAGAATATTAATAAAATCACTTTGATCTGAAAGATGATTAAAACACAAGACTTCCCCTTAATGCAGGAACAGATGAAGCACCACAAACACTCAGGCAATCTGATATCATCAAACACAACAGGGCTTCAGTTAATGCTGAATTATTTCACCCTCTACAGCAAGAGCTGATTAAAATCAGAAAATCCAAGGTAATCTTTAAGACAATAGTTACAGGAAAATGCAACATGTCATATACACTCACTAGACAA